CATTATTCCTTGTAACTCATGAAATTCTCTTACCATTGATGTTGCTAAGTCAGCTTTTGCTAAATACGCAGCACGCTCAACCTTAATTAATGAGGCATGAGGAATCCATATAGCTATATATTTTGACAGAGCTATAATACGTTTTACTTTTTCATGAACATTACCAAGGTAGCTATGGAATGATATTGAATCTAGTTTATTCACATAGTAATCTAAGTTGTGCTTTTTGTCCTGGGATATTAAAAATCGAGCATCAGCAAGGCGCGCTTCTAGTATTTTTTCATGTCCTTTAATAATATTGTCATTTTTAACGTTAACAACTGTAACAAAATATAAAATCTTTTGCCCATCGCTTAAAGCAAGATACTTCTGTTGTGTATGTACTATACTGAGTATTACTTCCTTAGGTAGTTCGGCGGATTTTTCTTGATTTACCTTACCAAATAATACAATTGGGCATTCTATTAATCCGGTCAACTCGTTCAATAAATAGTCATTTTGTTCAAGTTGTAGGTTATGTTTTTTGCTAAAGTCTTTAATCTGATCTAATATGAATTTCCTTCTTTTATCTTGTTGAAGAATAACGTTATTATTTTCTAATAAATTAAAGTAGTCTTTTGGTTTTTCTACAGTTAAAACTTGATTTTGTGAAAGTAGGCGATGACCGTAAGTTACGTTAGATGCAGTGACTCCAGCAAAAGATATAGGAATTACTTCGCCGTCCAAAATACATAAAATATTTTTAATTGGTCTCACCCACCTTTCTTTTCTTGTACCCCACCTCATACTCTTAGGCCAGGAGAAATTTTTCAGCATTTCTTCTAGCTGATTTTTAAGAAATTCTTTTATGTTAAAAACACAACTATCTTTTTTGATAAAGTAAAAATCTTCGTCGTTTATTTTGCGTACAAACAAATCATCTATACTTTTTTGGTTTTTTCTTAAAAAACCCTCTAAAGCATCCTGTGCTGCATTAACATTTGGACCTTTAATTTCATTATGAGAGTTTTTTAGCTCTAAGACCCTTATGTCATCGATAAAAAGAGCAATGCGACGTGCTGTAATAAAAATCTCTATAAATGAAAATTTTATATTATTCTTATGAAAGGTATTGGCAATATAATTATTA